TGGCTGGAAGAACAACCCATATCTCAATAATAACCCTAAATGTTAATGGCTTAAACTCACCAATTAAGAGACACAGGCTAGTAGAATGGATCACAAAACAAGACCCAAAAATATGCTGCCTACAGGAGACGCATTTGATAGGAAAAGACATACATAGGCTGAAGGTGAAAGGTTGGGAAAAATCATATCACTCATATGGACTTCGGAAACAAGCAGGCGTGTCCATACTCATATCAAATAAAATAGATTTCAAGCCAAAGTTAATCAAAAGAGATAAAGAGGGACACTACATACTGCTTAAGGGAATCATACACCAACAAGACATAACAATCATAAATATTTATGCCCCAAACAATGGTGCAGCTATGTTCGTCAAACAAAATCTTCTCAAGTTCAAGAGTCTAATAGACCACCACACCATAATCATGGGAGACTTCAACACACCTCTCTCGCCACTGGACAGATCTTCCAAACAAAAGTTGAATAAGGAAACTATAGAACTCAATAACACTATTAATAACCTAGACCTAATTGACATATATAGAGTATACCACCCAACATCAAGTAGTTACACTTTTTTCTCAGCAGCACATGGATCCTTCTCAAAAATAAATCATATATTATGTCACAGGGCAACTCTTAGACGATATAAAGGAGTAGAGGTAATACCATGCATCTTATCTGATCATAACGGAATGAAACTGAAAATCAACGATAAAAGAAGGAAGGAAAAAGCATACATCAATTGGAGAATGAACAATAGGTTACTGAATGATCAATGGGTTATAGAAGACATCAAGGAGGAAATTAAAAAATTCTTAGAGATAAATGAAAACACAGACACAACATATCGGAATCTATGGGACACATTGAAAGCAGTTCTAAGAGGAAAATTCATTGCTTGGAGTTCATTCCTTAAAAAAAGAAAAAACCAACAAATAAATGATCTCATACTTCATCTCAAAATCCTAGAAAAAGAAGAGCAAAACAACAGCAAAAGAAGTAGAAGGCAAGAAATAATTAAAATCAGAGCTGAAATTAATGAAATCGAAACAAAAGAAACAATTGAAAAAATTGACAAAACTAAAAGTTGGTTCTTTGAAAAAATAAACAAAATCGACAGACCCTTAGCCATGCTAGCGAAGAGAAGAAGAGAGAGAACTCAAATTACTAGCATACGGGATGAAAAAGGCAATATCACAACAGACACTTCAGAAATACAGAAGATAATCAAAAATTATTTTGAATCCTTATACTCCAATAAATTAGAAGATAGTGAAGGCATAGATAAATTTCTTAAGTCATATGATCTGCCCAGATTGAGTCAGGAGGATATAGAAAACCTAAACAGACCAATATCAATTGAGGAAATAGAAGAAACCATAAAAAGACTACCAACTAAGAAAAGCCCAGGTCCGGATGGGTATACAGCAGAATTTTACAAAACCTTTAAAGAAGAACTAATACCAATACTTTTCAAGCTACTTCAGGAAATAGAAAAGGAGGGAGAACTTCCAAATTCATTCTATGAGGCCAACATCACCCTGATACCTAAACCAGACAAAGACACTTCAAAGAAAGAAAACTACAGACCAATATCTCTAATGAACCTAGATGCAAAAATCCTCAATAAAATTCTGGAGAATCGGATACAAAAACATATCAAAACAATTGTACACCATGATCAAGTAGGATTCATCCCTGGGATGCAAGGCTGGTTCAATATACGGAAATCAATAAATGTTATTCACCACATCAATAGACTTAAAAATAAGAACCATATGATCATCTCGATAGATGCGGAAAAAGCATTCGACAAAGTACAGCATCCCTTTATGTTCAAAACTCTAGAAAAACTAGGGATAACAGGAACATTCCTCAATATTGTAAAAGCAATCTATGCTAAGCCTCAGGCTAGCATCATTCTGAATGGAGAAAAACTGAAGGCATTCCCTCTAAAATCTGGAACAAGACAGGGATGCCCTCTCTCTCCACTTCTCTTCAACATAGTTCTCGAAACACTGGCCAGAGCAATTAGACAGACGAAAGAAATTAAAGGCATAAAAATAGGAAAAGAAGAACTTAAATTATCACTATTTGCAGATGATATGATTCTATACCTAGCAGACCCAAAAGGCTCTACAAAGAAACTGTTAGAGCTATTAAAGAATTCAGCAAAGTGGCAGGATTTAAAATCAGCACGCATAAATCAAAGGCATTCCTGTATATCAGCAACAAATCCTCTGAAATGGAAATGAGGACAACCACTCCATTCAAAATATCTTCAAAAAAAATAAAATACTTGGGAATCAACCTAACAAAAGAGGTGAAAGACTTATACAATGAAAACTACAGAACCCTAAAGAGAGAAATAGAAGAAGATCCTAGAAGATGGAAAAATATACCCTGTTCATGGATAGGCAGAACTAACATCATCAAAATGGCGATATTACCAAAAGTTCTCTATAGGTTTAATGCAATGCCAATCAAAATCCCAACGGCATTTCTTGTAGAAATAGAGAAAGCAATCATGAAATTCATATGGAAAAATAAAAGACCCAGAATAGCAAAAACAATGCTAAGCAAGAAGTGTGAATCAGGCGGTATAGCGATACCAGACTTCAAACTATACTACAGAGCAATAGTAACAAAAACAGCATGGTACTGGTACCAAAACAGGCGGGTGGACCAATGGTACAGAATAGAGGACACAGAAACCAATCCACAAAACTACAACTATCTTATATTTGATAAAGGGGCTAAAAGCATGCAATGGAGGAAGGATAGCATCTTCAACAAATGGTGCTGGGAAAACTGGAAATCCATATGCAACAAAATGAAACTGAATCCCTTTCTCTCGCCATGCACAAAAGTGAATTCAAAATGGATCAAGGAGCTTGATATCAAATCAGAGACGCGCCATCTGATAGAAGAAAAAGTTGGCTACGATCTACATTCGGTGGGGTCGGGCTCCAAATTCCTCAATAGGACACCCATAGCACAAAAGTTAATAACTAGAATCAACAAATGGGACTTACTCAAACTAAAACTAAAGGTAAATAGGGAGCCTACACCCTGGGAACAAATCTTTACTCCTCACACTTCAGATAGAGCCCTAATATCCAGAGTATACAAAGAACTCAAAAAATTAGACAATAAGAGAACAAACAACCCAATCAACAAATGGGCCAAGGACCTGAACAGACACTTCTCAGAGGAGGACATACAGTCAATTAACAAGTACATGAAAAAATGCTCACCATCTCTAGCAGTCAGAGAAATGCAAATCAAAACCACCCTAAGATACCATCTCAGTCCAGTAAGATTGGCAGCCATTAGGAAGTCAAACAACAACAAGTGCTGGTGAGGATGTGGGGAAAAGGGTACACTTGTACATTGCTGGTGGGACTGCAGATTGGTGCAGCCAATTTGGAAAGCAGTATGGAGATTTCTTGGAAAGCTTGGAATGGAGCCACCATTTGACCCAGCTATTCCCCTTCTTGGTCTATTCCCTAAAGACCTAAAAAGAGCATGCTACAGGGACACTGCTACATCGATGTTCATAGCAGCACAGTTCACAATAGCAAGACTGTGGAACCAACCTAGATGCCCTTCAATAGATGAATGGATAAAAAAAATGTGGCATTTATACACAATGGAGTATTACTCTGCATTAAAAAATGACAAAATCATAGAATTTATAGGGAAATGGATGGCATTAGAGCAGATTATGCTAAGTGAAGCTAGCCAATCCCTAAGAAACAAATGCCAAATGTCTTCTTTGATATAAGGAAAGTAACTAAGAACAGAGTAGGGACGAAGAGCAGGAGAAGAAGATTAACATTTAACAGGGATGAGAAGTGGGAGGGAAAGGGAGAGAGAAGGGAAATTGCAGGGTAATGGAAGGAGACCCTCAGGGTTATACAGTGGAGGGGGTAGAGAGAGAGGAGGGGAGGGGAGGGGAGAGGTGGGGAGGGGGGAGGGTGGAGGATGGGAATGGCAGCGGAGCACAACAGACACTAGTATGGCAATTTGTAAATCAATGGATGTGTAACTGATGTGATTCTGCAATCTGTGTATGGGGTGAAGGTGGGAGTTCATAACCCACTTGAATCAAAGTGTGGAATATGATATGTCAAGAAATTTGTAATGTTTTGAACAACCCACAATAAAAAATTAAAAAAAAAAAGAAAAGAAAATAAAGTAGAGCCGGGTAAGTAGCTAATAGCGGGTTTACTACTAAAGAAATTAAAACTATCTAATGAGAATGGTGGCCTCCTGCTGAGAATAAACTGAAAGCTTCCTATTAACTTGCCTCCTTGGGATTTCTCCACAGAACAAGTCAGAAAACCATTTCCTGTTTATTTAATATCATAAGACTTGAAAAAAATAAGCAAAAACATATCTAGAAGTTGAAAAGAAATTCTTCCTTAGTTCCTCACAAGACCAGATAGGATATTATCATCTACCCTCAGGATCCGCCCATGGCATACATCAGCATAGGTCACAAAAAGAGACAAGACTGTTTAAAAAAAAAAAAAAAGTTTGGCATAGATATGAGGTTAAGAAGTACAATAAAAATGACTCAGTCTGGGTGTGAGTTTGGTATGAGCACTTAAAAAATCAATTAATCCTCTATTAGTTCTGTGGAATCAGCATTATTATGCCACCTCTTCAAGGAGTACTGGTTAAATTTCATGATTCCAGGAGGTGAAATGTCACTGTTATGCCTCCCGCACCCCTCTCCTGCAGAAATCTGTTTAAAGGTCTCTGGTGAATGTAGTTCTGTGGATATTTTTTTTTTTGGTTCTGAATAATTATTTAGGGTCACTTTACTGACCAGAACTTCAGCTCCTAATTCTATTGTGGTCTTAGAACCTATTGACCAATCTAAATTGATCCAGGACTCTGTTGGCGGGTGAAGCAGAAAGAATGCTGTCTAGATGTGAGAAGACTAGCAGGCTGCGAAGACTGAGAAGCATTTCAGGACCAAGGTGAGGATGCCAGCAGTACTCAAACTTGTCTCCCTGCATCTTGATGCCAAGAAGGTCTGGGAGAGATCCCATAGGAAAGTGTGGCTGGCGCTGCAGCTGACAGCCCACAGTGCCGGCTGGCGCCCCTCTGCACCCACTGGGGGAGGGGTGTTTTGTGAGCTGTGGACAGCTGCAAGAGGAGGCGCGGGCTTCCTGCTAGCCTGTCTGCAGCCCATTGTCCAGCCCCATATCTCTGGAGTTGATGACAGTGCTGAGAGGATCACTGATTGCAGTTATCCCCGCCGCCCAGGGAGGGTCCAAGATGTGGAGGTACCAGGGTGGGAAAGCAGCACCAGAGACAGGCCACACAGCAGCTTCCCCTCGCCCGCCTGTCCTGACCTGCCTCCCTTGCTCCCAAAGAACACCCCCCGCCACACACACACACACACACACACACACACACACACACTAGGAACCCCTATGTTCCCAAGGGACCGCCAGCAGCCTCCAAAACCAAGGTGAAGGAACAAATCAAGATCATCGTGGAGGATCTGGAAATTAGTCTTGGGAGACCTGAATGATATTGCCAAAGGTGAGAGGCGCCAAGTCGGAGTCGCTGTCCTTGATCTTCCTGGGGTTCTGGTTCCAGTTTTTGCTTGAGACCTCCAGATATCCAACTCCTGGTGAACTACAAAAAGATGCCTGCATATGCATCCTGAGAATAGTTGTTTTTGCACTTAAAAAAAAATCTGGAAGAATTCTAATTCTTTTATTGGCAATGTTATGCTTTTATCTTTTGACATAAACTAACAGTGACCTTTGGAACTTAAAAATTAAAAAGTGGCTGGGTCATCATGTCAGTCCCATATGGAATTTATTTTTCTTTTGTACTTTTAAAATTGTAACTAAGGGAGAGAGAGCCTGGGAGGAATAGAGAGGGCAGAGGGTGGGAGGGTATGGGAGGGGGCATGAGGTGAGAAATGATGGTGGGATGTGATGGAATAATGTGCATGTATGAAGACAGGAATTGGTGTGAATACACTTTGTATACAACCAGAGATATGAAAAAATGTGCTCTACATATGTAATAACAATTGTAATACATTCCGATGTCATATATAAATAAAAAATTATAACTATATTGTAAATTGTAACTAAAATGAATTTTTAAAATTATTCTTTTATCTTTACATAAATTATTTACCAACAACATTAGACATTTGAAGTTTAATTTTAAAGTTGCATTATTTGTAGATATCTGGAATTCAGTCATTTGAATTCATATAGTAAAGTTGATTTGAACATACATTAACTGCTTGAAACATTCAAATAATTAGTAATAAAACTCAAATTTGTGGAATTACCCGGGCCGCGGGTCCCCGCGGAGCACTGAGCATAACGGTCGGGGTAGCGGAGGCTGGGAGCTGGGCTAAAATGCCAGGTCGGCATTGGGCTGCAGCTTCTGCTGCTTCCAGCATCTGCCGGGCGGGGAGCCGGACCAAGGCAGCGTGCCCCTAACCCTGCTGCGCGGGGAGCCCGGGCTGCACTTGGCGCTGGTCGCCGAGGACCTCAACCACCTGGCGCAGGAGTCCTGCCTCAGTGACGAGAACTGTGATTTCAGCTCCGCCTAGAAGGGGTCCTCACTGCGCTACTACATTAAGGGCGGGAGCGGCGGCGGCGGCAGCGGCAGCACCCCGTCGCTGCCGCCGCCACAGCAGCCGCCGCTGGTCGCGACGAACTCGGGGGGCAGTGGGGCTGCGGGAGTGGGTTTTGAGGAGAGGAAGCAAACCCGGCCCGGCGGCCCAGCAGCCCGACACCGCTACGAGGGGGTGACGGAGCTTGGCCCGGAGAAGGTTCGCTGGTTCTACAAGGAAGACAAGAAGACCTGGAAGCCCTTCATCGGCTACGATTCTCTCCGCATCGAGCTAGCTTTCCGGACCCTGCTGCAAGCCACTAGCGCTCGGCCCCAGCCCGAGGGCCCGGATAACCAGCATGTGTGCGGCCGGACTTCCCCGCTGGGCCCGCCCTCTAGCTCCGAAGAGGAAGAGGAGGAGGACCGCGCTTGCGGCTTCTGCTTGAGCGCGGCTGGGCATGAGCCCCAAATGGAGGAGCTGGTGAACATTGAGTCGGTTTGCGTGCGCCGCGGCCTCTATGAGGTGGATGTGACCCAAGGAGAGTGCTACCCGGTGTACTGGAACCAGGCTGATGAAATACCAGTAATGCGTGGACAGTGGTTTATTGACGGTACTTGGCAGCCTCTAGAAGAAGAAGAAAGTAATTTAATTGAGCAAGAACATCTCAGATGTTTTAGGGGTCAGCAGATGCAGGGAAATTTTGATCTTGAAGTGTCAAAATCCTTAGACGGAAAAGATGTTGTCCACCACCTCCCTCCCTTCTCCCTCCCTTTTCTGTTCAAATGGAGAGGATATAAGGAGAGTACAGATGCAGCAGGTCTTAAAAGAAAGCGCTCCCAAGCTATTTATAGTTTCAAATTGAGTCGAAACCACGTGGACTGGCACAGTATGGATGAAGTATATCTTTATAGTGATGCGATCACATCTAAAATTGCAAGAACAGTCACCCAAAAACTAGGATTTTCTAAAGCATCAAGTAGTGGGACCAGACTTCGTAGAGGTTATGTAGAAGAAGCCACAGTAGAAGACAAGCCGTCACAGACTACCCACATTGTGTTTGTTGTGCATGGCATTGGACAGAAAATGGACCAAGGAAGAATTATCAAAAATACAGCCATGATGAGAGAGGCTGCAAGAAAAATAGAAGAAAGGCATTTTTCCAACTATGCAACACATGTTGAATTTCTGCCTGTTGAGTGGCGGTCAAAACTTACTCTTGATGGAGATACTGTTGATTCCATTACTCCTGACAAAGTACGGGGTTTAAGAGATTTGCTGAACAGCAGTGCAATGGACATAATGTATTATACTAGCCCCCTTTATAGGGATGAACTAGTTAAAGGCCTTCAGCAAGAGCTGAATCGATTATATTCCCTTTTCTGTTCTCGGAATCCAGACTTTGAAGAAAAAGGGGGTAAAGTCTCAATAGTGTCCCACTCCTTGGGATGTGTAATCACTTACGACATAATGACTGGCTGGAATCCAGTTCTACTCTATGAACAGTTGCTACAAAAGGAAGAAGAATTCCCTGATGAACAGTGGATGAGCTATGAAGAAAGACATCTTCTTGATGAACTCTATATAACAAAACGACGGCTGAGGGAAATAGAAGAACGGCTGCATGAATTGAAGGCAACGTCCATAACACAAACACCTGCCTTAAAATTTAAGGTTGAGAATTTCTTCTGTATGGGATCCCCACTAGCTGTTTTTTTGGCATTGCGTGGCGTCCGCCCAGGAAACACTGGAAGTCAAGACCATATTTTACCTAGAGAGATTTGTAACCGGTTGCTAAATATTTTCCATCCTACAGATTCAGTAGCTTATAGATTAGAACCATTAACATTGAAACACTACAGCAACATTTCACCTGTCCAGATCCACTGGTACAATACTTCAAATCCTCTACCTTATGAGCATATGAAGCCAAATTTTCTCAACCCAAAAGAACCTACCTTAATTTCAGAGAATGAAGACATATCAACCATACCAAACCCTATGACCTCACCAATCTTATCCTGCCGACACTATGGAGAATCTATAAGTAATATAGGCAAAGCAAGCATATTAGGGGCTGCTAGCATTGGAAAGGGGCTTGGAGGAATGCTGTTCTCAAGATTTGGACATTCATCTGCATTCCAGCAATCAGAGACATCAAAAGACTCAATGGAAGATGAGAAGAAATCAGTTGCTTCTCCTCCTACTACCACCGCAGCAACCCAGACTCTTCGACATAACAGTTCTGGCTTTCTTGATTCTGCATTGGAATTGGATCACAGGATCGATTTTGAACTCAGAGAAGGCCTTGTGGAGAGCCGCTATTGGTCAGCTGTCACGTCACACACTGCCTACTGGTCATCCTTGGATGTTGCCCTCTTTCTTTTAACTTTCATGTACAAACACGAGCAGGATAATGATGCAAAACCCAATTTAGATCCCATCTGAACTCTTGAAGGACATTAATGATCCCAAACTGATTTTTTTTCTGTTAAAATATGTGTGTCAAGATATGAAGATTTCAGGGTTAAGTATGTTCCAGTTTTGTTTGGGGCAAGAAATATTTGAATTTAAAAGCACTTTGTTAAAAAAAACATTTTCAGTTCTAAAGAAGTTACTTACAGTTCCATAATTTCGATTATGAATCTGATAGAACTCCCTGGAGAGAAGCAAGCAAGACCTGGAAGTGAGGAAGGTTTGGGTGAACTGCATGTAAAGGTTATAAAGTACAATCGAATTTCTCCAAGATATAAAATCATATTAATGGGTTGAATCTAATGTATTAACCAAAATATGTTATAAATCTAAAATGTTCAAGGTTCAATGTAGTCTGTGTAAAGATTACAGTGTGGTATATCATTGTTTTAAATTTCTATGAAATCTTCCATTTTCACAATTTCTTTGAAAGAAGAGAAACTAATGCTAAACAATATTTGAACTATTATATTTATAATTTATGACTTCTGACTAATTGCTTTATTTCAGTGTATGAAACATTACATTTTTTAATGTTTCCTTTGAATTAATTTAAGAACCACATTTAGTTTCTGTAGTGTTAAGACCCTTTTTTCCCTCAGAATTCCATCTTTGTACTCTTCAGATGAACATATAGACACTGTGGCATACTTTCAATATTTTTTTCATTAAAATCTTGTGTTTCATAATAAATAAATAAATAAATAAATAAAACTCAATCCAGTACTTACTCTTATCCAGTAAGAAGGACTGTTAATATTAGCATCTTTTTATGAATAATTTTGTTATAGTTATATAATTAGTTATAATTGGACTTTATATTAGAAAAACAGCATTTCTAGTTTTATTCTGTCCTCATAATTAATTAAACCTCAAAAAACTTGAGTTTTCAGACTAATCTGATTCATTTTGTCTTTACACAATAATGAAAAAGCTTCAATGTAATTCAGTATATTTATGCAGCACCTACCATGTTTCAAGATCCATGCCATCTTTTTACTGTTACTAAGATGAATTGCTGTAGTGTATGGCCTCAGTGAGCTCAAAACTTTAATTGGAGTGTTTATTCTGTTTTTCAACATCAGCAATATAAAAAAGCATCAATGCATTTAGCAGCCATTCTGACTAAAAAATGGGCTTAGGGAGAGAAAGCAGACCCTTGAATAAGATCAGTACATGTTCACTTATACACCAGTACTTTCCATGCATTTAGTAGCATGGTACTCCTTGGGAAAGCTTAAACAGGCCTAGAATATGAATTTAAAAAACTTATAATTTATCCAAGCCATCTTAATTAGCATAAATGGATCAATACCATAAACAGGAGGTAAAATATCCAAATGCTATGACTAAATATTAGAGACTTCTGTGGAGGGTAGGTCCTTTACAAAAATGAAGCAAAGGAAGATTTTGAATCTGTCTTTGTGGTGTGAACAGTGTTTGAAGAGTTAGAAAAAAAGGAATGAATAGAAAACAGCTGTGGAATACCAGATTAACCCATGTTGCTTTTCTTGTACATTTAAAAAAACAAAAGAATAGTGGTGAAACTCTTTGAGTTTTAGGTATAAAATTAACCATTTCTGGTGTAGCAGGTGCTGGTGATCCTTTTCCACTAAGAAATGTAGAAACAAAGCTATTGCGTTTTAAAAATAGTTAAATAATCCAGCGTCTTTAGTAGTAATTTTCCTGTTCTTTGTTGAGAAACTCACTGGTAAGCTGTTTTGCCTCAATTTTGGTGTTATTATGGAATCACAGATCACATTGTTTGGAGAGAGATTGTAATATCTGAAAACAGCCTTATCTGAAATAAAAGTCATTGTTACTTTAGGTTTGATTGTAACCTTAAACTTTTCTTGTTGCATTTCATTTTACAACTTTAAGTAATAGGACTATTATATGAGTTGATCAAATCTGAGTGTGTGTGTGTGTGTGTGTATTACATACATTATATATATATATATATATATATATATATATATATATATATATATATATATTTAAATGTGTGTGTTTTTTAGAAAAGCTTTGTAAGAAGACATGATTCTTATGGAGGACCTGTTAAAATAAGTCTGTCAGTGACCTAGAAACAGGAATTTGCCCCCCGTGGCCATGGGTGTACAGATGTGTCAGCATTGTGGCTATGAACTAGAAATTACCCACGAGTTTTCATGTACTGTCAGAAAACAAAACAATTTAAACTTACTGATTTTTGAAAACTCTGATGATCTACAGGAAATATCTGATTAATGATTATCTACAAAATATTTTTACTTTTAAATGTTGCTTCTTTTTAATGGTTTATCCACTTTAAGTTCTGTGGTTTATTGCTCTGGGGAATTCAATAGTGTTTTTATTTCCAGACATATAAACTAATTACTAAATGAATTATAGAAAATAATCTCTGGAGTATTTTCCAAGTTCTGAAGTTTTGAGTGAATGGAATTTAACAGTTCATTTAATAGTAGGAATAGCTGTACTTTTACTACTCTATACAAGTCTGTCTTCCAAAACTGAATTATATTTAACAAATACTAAAATTATATTTCTTTCTGAGAATGGAAAGATATAAGTATTCCAAAGGAATTAAATTTGCAGACCCAAAATTCAGTCAAAAAATGTTAATATTATAGGAAAGAACTGGTATTGATGATATTTGTTATTCTTCCTTATAGTTTGCAGTTCATGTTTGAGGTAAAGGTTTATGTCTAGAAAAACTGAAATAACTCAAATTATACACCTATGTTCAATGACTCAGTTATGATGATGTTTGGCACACTGTAAATAGATTTTAACAGATTACATATGGCATACTTGTCCAGAAAAAGCAAATTTTGTAATTCATAACTGGCTCTCTTCTGTTTTTCTACAATGAAAGATAATATAACATATTGGTATTATTTGCTCTTTTATAATATCAAATCTTAGCTTAAGATTTCAAACTGCATGGTTATTTGCTGGAAAAAATAGCACATTAAATTTATTTTCAAATCAATTGCTTTCTAACATCATTGGTTCTTAATCACAACCCCCATCCCTACCACCCTTATCTTGGGTAGGTGAAAATAACTCTAAGTGGAAAGTGATTGTCCCTTTAACATTTTTTTAGCTAGTTGCTTGAGGTCCAGTTCCATAATTTTCGGCATTTAAAGTCCTGGCTCTATGAAAACATTAAAAATAAATGCAGATGGCATAATCTGATGTTTTTATCCCAGGAGGCAATAATTTACTTCACTTAGAAGAGCCCTAGTGCATATAATCTCCAACTGGGACAGAAATGTGCATATGTAAATCTCTCTCTCTCTCTCTCACACACACACACACACACCCACCCACCCACACACACACACACACACTTCACTACTGTTCAAAACTGTAGAATGTTTTCCACATTGTTTTGCTGTTTTTTTTTTTTTTCTTAATATTTTGAATCAGGGAACATCACTACATAGAGGGACAAAATGTTTCTGGAGCTCACTGTAAATAAAGTATATTTTCTTAAAACTTTTTCTATGTGGTATTAATTCATGAATTATGAAATATATATTGAATTCCTGATATGTGTGACTCCTGTGTTGAAAACCCTAAAAGAGACAAACATGAATAAGCTATAGGACTTGCTCTTTATGAATGTCACCTCTCCTAGGGTGAACTTCCCAGCTTCAGGGAAGGGTTTTAGAGTTAAAGCAGTGTAGAATGTGTAAAGGGCCATGCTATGTTGCACAATACAAAGATAGAAGCAACATTTACCTTACCACCTGTTTTAATTGATTTCTTAGAATGAAAAATAATGAATTCAAAACTTTGCTTAATAATATGTGTAATAACTCCTGTAGTACATTGACATTCAGGGATGTGAAGGCAAGCCTTTCACAGATATGTTGCTTTGTTATTCTATATTAGTGAAATCCTGTTACTATGTAATTTCAGTACATATTCTTAACACTAGAACCTACCTTTATGAAGCAAATCTCTCCTGGTGAGAATTTCTATTACCAAATAATGAGAATGCATTAGAAAACAATCAGCAGTTGCTGTTCTTTTTAAAATTTGTTAAATCATTAATGTTTTAGACATATTCTAACAACTGATTTTTCATAGGTGGATGATTTCTATCATTTGTTAATTTGAATAAGATGTGAAAAATTATGACAAAATTACTAAAAAAGTAACTAGGCCTTTTACATTTCTATGACAATGATAATTGTACAGCTCAAATGTAATTAAATGAATATAGCTGTAATTTTAAAGCCCAAATATCAGATATTTTATGCCTACTGAATTGCATGTAGAATACAATATTTATACTTTCTCTGTATTGCAAAGATTGATTTAAAGATATTTTTATTACTATTATAGTTACACATAATTTGGGGACTCATTTTGACATATTCATAAATGCATATAACAGAATTTGCTCCATTTTGATCCCTAGTACTACTTCCTTCCTTTTCTTTCTCTCTCCTCCTGAACTTCTTTCTCTATTCTATTGGTCTACCTTCTATTAATTTATTTTAATTGATGTACTATTGTCATTCATAAAAGTGAAATTCATTGTGATATATTCATACATATGCATAGCAGAGTTTGGTAAATTTGATTCTGTAGCCCCTCCCCTTTTCCATTGTCCCTCCTCCCCCTCATTACATTTCTGCTACTCCATTGTTCTCCCTTTCATTTTCATAAGATAACCCCTCACTCTTTTCAAATTCCTTATATCCTCTAGCTTATACACATACAGGGAAATTTTTGATCCTTGACTATCTTGAGTCTGTCAAATTTCACTTAAAATGATGTTGTTCTCCATTACCACCCATTTATCAGCAATAACATAACTTCATTCTCCCTTGTAGCTGAGTAAAACTCTGTTGTGTATATATACCACATGTCCTCTATCCATTTGTCTACTGAGGGACAAGTTGGTTGGTTCCATAATTTGGCCATTGTGAATTATGCTGCGCTAAACATTGCTATGTATGTATCACTATAGTATGCTGATTTTTGGTTCTTTCATATAGCCCCTCCCTTTTCCCATTGTCCCTCTTGCCCCCCTCATTACATTTCTGCTACTCTAGTGTTCTCCCTTTCATTTTCATAAGATAACCCCTCTCCCTTTAAAAATTCTTTAAGGAGTGGGATAGCTCGATTATATGTTAGTTCCATTCCTAGTCTTTTGAAGAATCTCCACACTGTTTCCAAATTGGTTGTACTAATTTGCCATCCTAACAATAATGTCTGAGTGTATCTTTATCCTCACTTTCTTGACAGCATTTATCATTATTTATATTCTTGATCATTGCCATTCTAACTGGAGTGAGCTGGAATCTCAATGTAGTTTTGATTTGCACTTCCCTGATTGCTAGAGATGTTGAACATTTTTTTCATGTATTTGTTGTCCATTTGCATTTCTTCTTTTGAAAAATGTCTGTTTAGTTCATTTGCCCATTAATTGATTGGGTTATTTGTTTTTTTGTGTTAAACTTTTTGAGTTCTATATCTACTCTGGATTTTAATCTTATTTTGGAAGAGTACCTGGCAAGGTTTTTCTCCCATGTAGATTTTCTCTTCATTGCTTGTTTCCTTTGTTGTGCAGAAGATTTTTAATTTGAAGACATCCCACTTATTGATTTGTGGTTTTATTTCTTGAGATTTAGGGTCTGATTTTTGGTTCAGTTTTTTTTTTTTTCTGTTTTGTTTAGTTTTTTAGGTTTTTGTTTTTGCTTTCTTTTAGATTCTTTATATTTTTATATTTACTTATTTTGTGCGCTGTTTGTTCTTTATGTTCTACTTTTCTTTTTATGGTTGGCCTGGTTTTACACATTTCTCCCT